CATTCAAAATCTCGACAGACAAACCATAAACTTGTCTTAACAAAAAATTATCAAGTAATTAAACATTGAAAACAATTTTTTTAAATTTTTTTAAAAATAAGAAAAAATATTTTTTAAAAAAGAAAAAAAATTTAAAAAAGAAAAATGTTTTAAAAAAGAAAGAAAAATTTAAAAAAGAAAAAAATAAATAAATGCATTAATAAAATTAGTTTTTTGGTTGGGCAAGACATTGAACAAAGGATAACTATAAAATTATGGGTTTGTTTTTTTAAAAAAGAAAAAATAAACGCCATAAATAAAGAACATTTCCAGCCGGACAAGACATTGAAAAAAAGGAAACCTAAGCATGGGCAGAGTTTTAGCATTTTAACAAATTTTCATTATTAAGAAAATATGAATTCGAAGTTGTATGTGATAGTCGAATTAGTACCCAATCGGATACAGGGGATCGACATTGTATCACTTGCAGAAATAAGTACGTAAATCTCATCAGTTACGTGTCGGAATTTAAAATTAAACGTCAGTACTTAAATAGAATTGAAACCTTTTTTTATTTTTTGTAATAAAGCAATGTACAAATCGCATTTTTATTTAATTATTGCTATATATACATGCATATTCTTTTTTACTAACAAAATATCAAAATAAGTGGTGAAATTATTGGTAAATTGTTGAATTTCTTATTTCAATAGTATAGGTTTATATAAAAAAAATAATACTGCAATGGCTAAAAATTACTTTTTTTCAAACATAGTTTAAACATCCATGTAGATGCCTTTCTTGAAATTTTGCAACTTCAAATCTTCAAAGTTATTAGCATTATTTTAAATGGGTCCAACCTTTTTTAATCACATTTAACCTTTTTTCATTGCGGAAAAGTTTCAGATTTCTCAATAAACTTTATTGCCTAGAAGCTAATTTTTATTATCATAAATATGTAAAAAAAATGTATTATATGATTATCTTAAATAGTACTTTACTAATATTGCTTTTAATTCAATAGCTTAACTTCGGTCTAGATGAGTCTAATTAGATCAGCAACAAACAATTGATCATTGCTCAATCGTGTTATTATTGTTGCCCTTATTTATTATTCTTTAATACTACTAAAAATTATTAAATATGTACTCTCGTGTATACTGTACACGAGATTTTTTGCCAATTCGTTTTGAACAACATATGGTGTTGAATGAATGGCCAAATTTTTGTTTATATTAATATTTGAGTGTCATCAAAGGAAAACCCGCAATTCTAAAAAATAGATTATAAAGAATTTCATAATGATCTATTTTTAAAATTGTAGGTTTTTTCTTGGCAACACTTAAAATCGGAATATTACAATATACTATATTTTATAAAATAATATGACATATTTAAATTTAAAATGATACGTAATCAAAATTACATACAGTAGATAACATTAATTTAATATTCATTCTATTAATAACGATAACTACATAGAATTTAATCCGGTGACTGATGTTTTACATCTTCTAGCCACAAAAAAGGTGTTTACAAAGGTTGCAACTAATTCCAAAGAAACGTTAAGTTGTGACTTTGTGGCAGATATCATCCTCAAATACAAATAATACTAAATACATAATAAATAAACTAATAAACTACATATAGACATATAATTTGCACAACACCAAAAAAATATGCTGAAGTAACAAAAAGTTTATACGTAAATAAAAGGTTATCATAAAGTCTATAAATGAGAACCTTTCATGTAAATAAATTTAACAAAGTTTTTTTGAAAAACTTTTATCAAAAATGATAAATACGGACATGCTTTCCGATACTAATAATTATTCATTGATTTCAAAAACGTTAATCTGTACAATTGTTTTATGTAGAACTAGTGATAACAAAGATCACTTTTATTATAGCTATTTTAGGGTAATTTGATTTATTAGCAATCGTCAGCGTTTGGTGTTACGCTAAATTACTTAACTAGGAAATTTTGTTTGTTTTGATATAAAACACCAGCATCGCCAATAATCGAAATTGTTGATAACTCACACACAAAAAATTTTCCGGAGCGAAGGATCAGGTGTAACGTAAAATCAAAACAATCGAATTAAGCGAAAAGATTTTAAAGTAATAAGCATCATCTTTAGGGTTAGGATTAAGGAGGAATTTTTTTTAGAGTTAATAGCGATTTTTTAAGAAGACGTGATTTTCACGTTCTGCTTGATCCTTCAATCTAATTGGCTAGAATCGCGTGCTGGACATTTTTACCGGCTGGTCTACGGGCACGTATCAATTCACGTGTTTGGCATGTACCGAATATCAATATCATGTGATATAGACGTATGTAAGTTATGGATTTAGAATTTTTCTTAATTTGTGGACAATTTTCACAATAACTATCTAATACACATTAGTAGAATTTATTTTAAAAAAAAATTTATTAAATTTTATTAAGTAGTTGTTAAGAAAATTTCATCTTTTTAAGATAAAACTGAATTTTAGATATTTAAAGTAAATTTTAATGCTGTTTCTATTGCTATTGTTTTATTATTTCTTGGAATATGTTTAGTGCAACATTAAATTACCAAAAATGATAAGAATCACAATAATGTGCTTATTTACAAAACACAAATTTTATCATAAATGTGCTTATTTACAGGGCACAAATTTTGTCGTAAATGTGTTTATTTTTCATACTTTACGGTATATCTTATTTACTATATGCTCTATATGAATTAAGAGCGCAGATGATCAATTTATCATATTCGGTTATATTTACAAGATTTTTTTATAGGTAGATGTATGCATCACTATCGATTACCATACAAACCATAATAAGTCCATTACAAAACTAACATAACCCTATCTAAGTAACTTACACAACTGCCATAGCCGGGGGTGGACTTTTTTTTAATCACTAAATGATGCATATACATCATCACAAAAAATCTATTATAGGCAGAGATATTAAAAAAGATCCTGTTCAGGAACTTTTCACCAACTCGGTATAATACAATACAATATAGTATACTTAGTTTGTGCTAAATAATCTAGACTTTTAATGTTATATAGTGAGTTGTTAATATTTTCAAAATTCTTCGTACCGGTACAATAGAAAGCTGCATATATTTATCTAGATAGATAATATTAGTTTAGAAGAGCAAATTTGTTAATTAAAATTTATATGAAGTAATTGGTGCAGTACATATGCAACCAAAACAATGTGTTATGTTCAGGAAATTTTGAACGTCTTTACGTGGTAAATGTAAAACCTAATGTTGCTTATTTGCTATGTGCGAAATATTAGACAAATTTAGTTTGAATTTAGAATTTAGATAAGCATGTAAATGTATAACGATTTTAATTACCGTAATAACTTTACGAAAACATCTTTAATGTAGCGAAGATTCTCTTTGAGACACCTGACCCGAATTTTTGATTGTTTGAATAATTTATAGTGTAAAAACTCAAAATCAGCTAAAAAAAACAAACCAACAACTAGACAGGCGCATGACTTGTTGGTTTGTACAACATCGTCACACGTGCTAATGTTTGTTGCAAATTCGTTATGTTGCGGAATTGAGAAAAAAACAAGAATATTCATTTTCTTTGTTCATGAAACTGTTAAAAAAATCAAATGTTTTTCATTTTTAATGAATGGCAATTTTTATATTAATTGCAACGCTTAGTCCTTAAAAATCTTTTTGTATTGTGAATACTAATATCATGCTTTATATTATTATATCGATTATACCTGAAATTTTTTATAAATTGATGGATATTTTCCTTTAATAATTCTTCATTATCTATCCTCTTTTGAAAATTCGAATCTCCTATCTTAATTAATCTCATTTATTCTGAAATATTAAATAAATTCCCGAATTTTCGGGTCCCTTCTTTTATCAGAATCCCGATACATGATGAAAAGCTTTCACAACCTTTTCATTCCTCTTTCATCATTTATCGATAAGTTTAATTACTTAAATGTACCAAAAATACCTTTGCTTACATTTAAACATAATAATCGATCAAGTTTCTTAAAAAATTTGAGACCAATTTTTATTTTTTATCTATTCTTAAATTTTATCCCCACTTCTGTTGCAGAAGAAACTAATTACTTAAATGTGATAATCGTGCACCCGGATCGTAATGGAAATTGCCCATCAAGTAACTACAGTGATTACAAAATTTATAGGGATACATTCTCTCAATTATCAGAGTTTGTCACTTATGCAGGCGTTATATTTAATATTGCTATTTATGGTGTAACATCTAAACTTAGTATGAGGACAACCTTTTTCTTGGATGATGTTATAATCTTATTATCTTCATTGGCACCTACTTATTTTTGGTATTTTACTACTAAGCCAATTTTACACATTATCCAGAATCATAATAGTGACAATAATATTATCAATCCTGATAATAATAATATCAATCCTGATAATAATGCTTATTTAATTATCTTAGTGGTCTTATTGGTCTTATTTTTTGTAATCATTGGCGCAGCAACTTATTTTATCTGGTTTTATAACTATAATTTCAACCGAAACCATAAAAAAGAGTCCTTAAAAATCATAAGAGCGGGTATGAAGATTATTATTAAACGCATCCGATTGTTTATTATTTGGACTTATTTCTTTCATTCAATCGTGATTCTATATTTTGATTTAACTAGTCCTTATTATTTATCTAATGTAAGCTTTTTAAGCTTCTTAAAATTCGATTTTTTGAATTTTTTAGTCGATTACATTTATTTCATATTGACTTTTTATCTAGTTGCATCTTATTACCTTTCATACCCTTTATATTGCTATTATGAAAAGAAAAAGAAAAACAAAATCATTAACGAAAACCAGAAAAAAAATATTACTATGAAATTTTTTGAATACTTCCCTAAGAAATTCAGAAATATTATCAATAAGCGTTGCTTTTTTTTAGTAATTTTCTTGTCAATCATCCAGTTATTTTTTGAATACGCTAATTATTGTACACCTCCATATATTGATGCAATATTCAATGCAATTATGGCTACTGTTTTGACACGTACTGTTGCATCATTCTTTTCTAATAATGGGGTCATCATCAGTAAAAACATTGCAAAAAAGGGAATTGATATTAACGAAGAAAAGATTGTTCTCGCAATTACTGAAAAAAAATATATAAATGAATTTGATGAAGTCTACAAAATTGAGGAAGAGCTTTACACCAAATCAACCAAGATTAGAAATGATAATCATGGTGAAAATAAGATAGAAAAACACCCTAAAATTATAAAATTAGGATGTGAAAATGCTATTTCAGCAGGTGGTGGATGTGAATGTGAAAAATGTAAACCTTTAAATGCAATTGATATCGAAAAAGGAATGGAGAATGTTCAGTACGTATATGCAATCTGTATCACCAAAATGGGATTACTTGATTATATCGTTTATCATCATCGAACGACCTACGATTCGGATTTGGACAAAGATTAATCTACCTATCTGAGTTATTTTTTTCTTGATCTTTTTTTATTTAATTTTTTTTTTTTAATGCAATTTGTCATTTGCCCTTTTTGCAATTTTTTTTATTCAATTTAGTCATTTGCCCTTTTTGCAATTTTTATTTTTTTAGATAGCATAAATTTTACAATAGAACGCTCTTCTAAGAGAGTATTGAGATCTCTGTGATTTTATTTATACTTAACATTAAAATCTTTAATATTTTATCAAATAACAAATAAATCCTTGGATTAAATTCATTATGAAATGTTAAGCATAATAAAATTTTGTATCGAAAATAATGATCATTTTTTGTCTATTACCAACACAATTTTTTTACTTAAAGGTACATTCTGACAATGATATTTTATGTCTTATATCAATGCGTTTTATCATATCTGTTCATGAAATGTTTTATATAAAATCCTAATTAATATATAAAAAAAATTTATAGAGCATGGTTACACCCTCACGTCATGCATAAAATGCTTCATATAACAATTATAATCACATATTCCTTAACATAATTGTATAGCATATGCATCAAAATCGTAAATTTTTGAATCTATTATATAAATACAAAAAATCAATCAATCAATTAATTAATTAATAATTATATTATGTGTATTATAACATTTTCATAACCTTTTAGAATTACCTATGAATTTGGCTGATTCATACGCTATCTTAATCTCTCTAGTGCTTATTAATCTAATATACATTGAATTTTGATGATTCGTTAAGGTAATTTGTGTTGTTTTAATCACATTATTAGCAGAAATAAAACTTTTTTAATATCAGATGCTGAGGATTCAACATAATTATGCGTCATTCTGAAAGTTTTGATCTAATATTTTAGCACTAGGTCGGTTAAACGGGTTAGAATCCATGCATTGTTTGGCTAATTTAGTATAACATTCAAGTGTTTTTCAGAAAATCTAGGCTGTAATCCTTTACAAATATCCAACGCAAGTATAAAGTCGACTGATAACTGTAAAAAGGCCTTTGTCCAGTTGATAATAATTCTGTCATAATAACGCCCATGCTACATATATCAGCTTCTTTTGTATGGCATAACTCCATGAACTTCACCTTTTGAAGCTCATTCTTATAATCCTAGATCAGTAATAAAAGACTTTGTAAAAATTACGTGAATATAGCGAAATATTTTCACTATGAAAATCTCAATGAACATATCATGAATGAATCTTAGCTAATCATTTAATATATCTACAAGGCACGCCAATTTGCTGTTCCATTTGAATTTTTTTTAAAATTTGTTATTAAAAAATCATACAGATTTTCTCCATCAGCATATCGAAATATCATAAGACATGTCCAAGTTTCTATGTCTTGGGATGTTTCAATGGGGTATTCGATATACTATGTAAATCAAAACTATATATGGCATCATATAAAAATTTAATATCGAAGATTTTCATGTAACTGTCGTGACTGAAGTTGACACCCGACTGGAGTTGCAACTTCAGTTGACTGAAGTTGCACTGCCCTACCTGAAGTTGTAACTTTAGTTGCCTAAAGTTGCAACTCTAGGCAGGTACCAACTTTAGGTGTATTACTGTGCCTGAAGTATACTTTGTGACTTAAGTTGAAACCCGACTAAAGTTAAAACACAAGGAATCAAAAATGCTAAGCAAAAAAATTTTGAGCATAATTAAAGATGCAATAATAAATGATAGTAAACAATTGATTTTTAATCACTTGTATCGGTGACCCAATCGAAGTTTTTGTGTATATCTTCTTTATTTTTAGAATTTTTTATTTTTTTTTATCAGATTTTTTACTGGGCTGATGAAATGATAATCACTGATCGACAAAGATTTGAGTGAAAGATGTTTATTCGTCCTAAAAATAATAAATTTTGCACTTATAACTTATATGTGACGCTTTGTGCTGAATATTATACTTTAAATAAATTTATTAATTAATAACAGCAAATTTATAATAAGAAGTCAGAAAATCAAACTTAACTAAAGTTACAACTAAAGTTGTAACTTCAGTCAACTGAAGTTACAACTTTAGTTGACTGAAGTTGCAACTTTAGTTAACTTAAGTTGCAACTTTAATCAACTGAAGTTTCAACTTTAGTCAACTTAAGCTACAACTTTAGTCAATTGAAGTTACAATTTTAGTCAACTGAAGTTGCAATTTTAGTTGACTGAAGTTGCAATTTTAATAATTAGTATTGCAATTTTGGTTAACTGAAGTTGTAACTTAGTCAACTTAAATTGCAACTTTGGTTAACTAAAGTTGCAATTTAGTTGACTAAACTGTTATTAGTTGATCAAAGTTACAACTTCAGTTTATTAAAGTTGTAATTTTAATTGACTAAAACTGCAACTTCAGTTGACTAAAGTTACAACTTTAATGAACTAAAATTGCAATTTTAGGTAATTAAAGTTATAATTTTAATTGACTAAAATTGCAATTAAAGTTGCAATTTTAGTCAACTGAAGTTACAGTTTTAGTTGACTAAAGTTGCAACTTTAGTTAACTGGTTTTGCAATTTTGGTTATCTGAAGTTAACTAAATTGTAATTTTGTTAACTAAAGTTGCAATTTTAGTTGACTAAGTTGCAATACAAATTATTTAAATTGTAATTTTAATTAACTAAATTTTTAACTTTAGTTGACTAAGTTGCAACTTTAGTTAACTAAAGTTGAATTTAAGTTATCTAAGTTACAACTTTAGCTAATCAAAATTGTAATATCAGTTAACCAAAGTTACTACTTTAATTAACTATAGTTATAATATCAGTAAATTTCAATTAACTAAAGTTGCAATTTTAGTTAACTAAAATTGTAACTTTAGATAACTAATATTACAATTTTAGTTAACTAAAGTTATAATTTAATTAACTTAAATTTTAACTTTAGTTAACTAAAGTTACAATTTAATCAACTAAAGTTGCAAATTTAGCTAACTAAAATTATAATTTAGTTAATTAATATTGCAACTTTAGTCAACTAAAATTGCAATTTTAGTTGACTAAATTACAACTTTAGTTAACTTCAGGTAATCAAAATTGCAAAATCAGTTAACTAAAGTTACAACTTTAGTCAATTAAAGCTGTAACTTCAGTTGACTAAAATTGTAATTTCAGTTGTAATTTTAATTAACTAAAATTGTAACTCAGTTAACTAAAAATGCAACTTTAGTTAACTAAAGTTACAACTTTAAATGACTAAAGTTGTAATTTTAGTCAACTAAAATTATAACTTAATTAATTAAAATTACAACTTTACTTGATAAAAATTTTAAGTTTAATTAATTGAAATTGCAATTTTAGTCAACTGAAGTTACAATTTTAGTCAACTGAAGTTACAACTTTAGTTGACTAAAATTGTAACTTTAGTAATTAGTATTGTAATTTTAATTAACTGAAGTTGTAACTTAGTCAACTTAAATTACAATTTTAGTTAACTAAAGTGTCAATTTTAGTTAACTGAAGTTGCAACTGAAGTTGCAACTTTAGTTATTAAAATTACAACTTTAATCAACTAAAATTGTAACTTTAGTTAATTAAATTATAACTTCAGTTGACTAAAATTGTAACTTCAATTAATTAAGTTATAATTTGAGTTAACTAAAATTGCAACTTTAGTTAATTAAAATTACAACTTTAGTTAACTAAAATTGCAACTTTAGTTGACTAAAATTGTAACTTTAGTTAACTGAAATTATAGCTTTAATTAACTTAAATAGCAACTTTAGTTAACTAAAATTATAATTTTAATCAATTAAAATTGCAACTTTAGTTTACTGAAATTACAATTCTAGTCAATTGAAATTACAACTTTAGTTATCTAAAGTTACAATTTTAGTCAACTAAAGTTATAGCTTTAGTTGACTAAAGTTGTAACTTTAGTTAACTGATTTTGTAATTTTGGGTAACTAAAATCAACTAAAATTGTAATTTTAGTTAACTAAAGTTGCTATTTAAGTTAATTAAAGCTATAATTTCAGTTAACTAAAGTTACAATTTTAGTTAACTAAATTTGCAATTTCAGTTAACTAAATTATAACTTAAGTTAACTAAAGTTGTAATTTAAGTAACTAAGTTACAACTTTAATTAACTAAAATTGGAATATTAGTAACTAAAGTTATAACTTTAGTTAACTTAAGTTGCAATATCAGTAAATTTTAATTAACTGAAGTTGTAATTTTAGTTAACTAAAGTTATAACTTTAATTAACTAAAGCTATAACTATAGTTAACTAAAGTTGCAACTTTAATTAATTAAAGTTTTAATTTCAGTTAACTAAAGTTACAACTTAAGTTTACTAAAACTACAACTTCAATCAACTAAAGTTGTAATTTCAGTCAAATAAAGTTGTAATTTTAGTTAATTAAAGTTGTAATTTTAGGTAACTAAAGTTGCAATTTTAGTTAACTAAATTGTAATATTAGTTAATTAAAATTACAATTTTAGTTATAAAGTTATACAAACTCTTTCCGCTGATCCTTAATTTAGGAAAAAACAGAAAAAGTACAAAACTAAAAATACAACGGAAAGTAGTATAGCAAGCACTTATTATAGTATTAGGAAAAGCTCCTAGTATCAGAAGCCATTATTGCTTTATTAGAA